GATAATTAGGTAAAAATAAATGCAGATTATAAGACCATGAAAGTGTTTTTTGACCTTGCATGCATATTAGACTGTTGTTGGAGACCCTTACAACCAAGATATGACCCTATTTCATGTATAATATGGGCTCTTTAAGTAGTGACATAGCAAAGTTGTAGACACTCCCTAGCAACCACTTTAAGCCCCCTAACAACCTTATAACAACATAAACAAGCCATAATTCAGCACAGGAATATCAGAGAAAGACAGGATTTGGCCTCTTTTGATTCAGGCTGATTAAATCTCTATTGTCTTCACATATTAAAACGGCATTGCCACAGCATAGCAACAATATAGCATACCCTAGCAACTACATAAACACATGAATTTAACCATTTCTTTGCATTTACAGCTATTTTGGTCAGTTTGGTAATGCATTGTGCCCCGTCGATTTGCCATGCAAACCCCTCTCACATTTTCTTTAGGAAATGTACAATTCTAGTTAGTGGGGTTTGCCTTAAGGTAAGTTCCACTCTTACAATGCTGGGTTATTAGTGGGGTTTGTCAATGTTGTGCTATGACATTTATAAGGGGTGGGGGGTTGTAAAATTGTTTTATATTCATTCCACTTAAATTTGTTGTGTTTACTTAATTGATTTGTGTTGAGAGAACATGAATAAATAGTATAAAACCCAACATTTTTAAGGTGTAGTTTGGATTATTTACAAACAGCAAATCTAATACTGAAAGTACTGTAAAATAACAGCATTAGAAAACAATCTATCATCAAATGAAGAATCCACTGGGCTTTAAAGAAACGCCTGCGTTTTTAAGCCTCATAAAACAACTCGAAATATTTGTTCAAGTCTTCTCATTTGCACCACAGCATCATTAGATCAATGCTCGAGCCTCAGCGTGAGGGGAAACACGTGTTTTCAGAGAGTTCACAGGCTATTACTTTACATTTAATCGGCTTTATTTAATATTTAATGGGCTGACAGAGGACGGGAATTATTAACAGGCCAAAATGTCATTTGCTGTGTCAGTTTGGCTTCAGGGCTGTGGAGATTTTCTCTCCTGATAAGTTTTTTTTTCCATGCAGTGTGGCCTTTAAACTCCTGCGCTTCAGCACACGCTGACACACACTCACACACAGATCATAATAAAAACACACAGGAGCTGTTTTTAAACGCTCTATTACTTACCGGCGTCAATTCATATTCCTCCACCACCGCTTCTCTCAAAGTCTCTTATTTATTATTGAAAAGCACATACGACCCCTATATCACTTAATTCTACTTTACGCTGCTGCGTTTATATCTCCGTGTGTGTGTTTCTCGGATGCGCGCGCGCTCTGTGCTGAGGTTGGGAAATTGATAACGCGCCGGAGACGCGCAATAAAAATGACGCCCGCGGGCGCGACACCCGGATCCCCGATTATGCAAATACGGGGTAATTTTAAAGACAAATCGTCGGCTTTTATCCCCTTATATTTCTGCTTTATACGTCTCGCTTTCTCCGGAGAATAAAACGTTTAATGTGTCGAACCTAATGATGGATCTGACCTTCAATCACGTCAGCGAATGGATGGGGCTTTGTGTGAAGAGACGAAAACAAAATGCGAGAATTTTGCCATTAATATTCCTAAAGTTTTGTGCACAGAAAGTGTGAAAAATATTGATATTAAACAAACAAACAAACTTAGGTTTTTTTATTAAGCGGATTAAATGCCCAGTGAATGCAAAACGCTTTCAATTATAGCATTAAAACCAAATTCGCAGCTAAAAACTGATTTTAATTGATCTTAAAAGTGTGTGGAAATAATATAAGGTGAATTTTGGGAAATCTGGGACACCTAAACTTCACCCTATTTAAAAATAGGCTACAAGTCGCGTTTGATCTAAATTTAATATAAGCTTGCGTGATTGTTTAATATTAAAATGAGAAGTGAAGCTATTTTAATTAAAAACATTCATTTTCTTTCCGGCTAGTCACTTTAATAATCAGGGGTTGCCACAGCGGAATGAACCGCCAACTTATCTAGCATATGTTTTACGCAGCGGATGCCCTTCCAGCCACAAACCAACACTAAACCACACTCTTTTAATTAAAAACAATCATCTGAAATATTTAGTAGCCATAATAAACCAATAAAATGCCTACAGTTCTTGGCATGTGTGTTTTAAAGTAGACTTCATTAAGTTTACTTTTTCTCCGACATATACACACAAGGGAACAGTCATTTTAAGGAACAATTTTTACTATTAATAACCATCAACTTCGACTTTTAGCTCAATAAACACCTAATTTGCTGTGTTTTAATTGCGATTACAGTAGAAGTTATATGCGGGTATGGAGAATAAGATCATTCAGAGAGATATAAAGTACTAATAAGGAATATATATAATATATTAAATAATATATAATAAACTGATGCTAGGTAATGAGCCAGTTTTATACTGAGAAATGGTACTTAAACTAGTCACAGTTTATTTTAAAGAACAATTTTGCTATTGATAACCTATAACTACGACTTTTAGCTCAATAAACACCTAATTTGCTGCATTTTAATAGCGACTAGAAGTAGTTTATGTATTCGGGTGTGGAGAATAAGATCATTCAGAGGATTATATAGAACTAATAAGGAATGTATAATATATTAAATTATATAAAATAAACAGATGCTAATAATAGGCAGGTAATAAGCCAGTTTTTACAGTGAGAAATGGTACTTAAACTAGTCACAGTTTATTAACATCGATAGATATTTGTATTTGGGTATGAATGATATTGCAGAGAAAAATATAGGTCTAATAAGCAATATATAAGGAATATATTAAATAATATATAATAAACAGATATGTTAATGATAGACAGGTAATAGGTAGTTGTTACAGTGAGAATTGGTACTTAAACTAGTCACAGTTTATTTTAAGGAACAATTTTTGCTAATAATAATCATTAAACGACTTATTTGCTGTTTATTAATAACGATTAAGGTAGTAGATTGTGTATTTGGGTATGGAGAATAAGATCATTCAGAGCAATATATAGTATTAATAAGGAATATATGAGCAAGATATTATATATGATATAATAAAGATATGTTAATAATAGGCAGGTAAGCCAGCTATTAGTGAGTATTGGTTCTTAAAGTGGTACCATAATCCTAATCCTAATAATAATAATAATAATAATAATAATAATAATTATTATTATTATTATTATTATGATTATGATTATTATTATTATTATTATTATTATTATTATTATTATGATTATTATGATTATGATTATGATTATTATTATTATTATTATTATTATTATTATTATTATGATTATGATTATTATTATTATTATTATTATTATTATTATTATTATTATTATTATTATAATCATCATCATCATCATGATGATGGGTTATTTTTTATTATCATGCTTGAGATTATACAAGGTCAAGCACTTATACAAGAGGGCGTTAATTACATTGTTGGAGCAATTACAAAAGCACACAGGCCTGCGCTCATATGACGGGTGAAAACCTCGCGGGACGCATAAATAACGGGAGGACGAGCGATACCGATTACAGCATAGTGAAGATCTCAGAGCAGCTCAATCAATCAGGACAGAGAGAGAGAGAGAGAGAGAGAGAGAGAGAGAGAGAGAGAGAGAGAGAGAGAGAGAGAGAGATCTATAACGCGGATGGACAGCCAGCAAAGTCAAGTATATCTGGGTGCATTTGCTAAATAACACAGTGCCAATTAATGTCTAAAGTCAAGGAAACTGAAGAAGAAGAAGCAAATGTGACATAATTATACGCTATTATCACGCGTCTAACAGTAAACAGGCCAAATTTGTCGCCGCGTGCACATATGGCACGGACACGCGCCAGAAGCACGTTTAGGGGAGTCAAGCGTTTCTGCCAGAAATGTCTGAATACATTCACGGGCCGGTTTTTAAAAAATCATTCATGTGTCTACAGCCGTCAAAGGCTCTGTGCAGGCGGTGGCACATTTTTAGACAGCGTGTCCATTTCACTGACGCTGAAAACTGCGCGCTAATAGTGTGCGTGAGGACAAATTACGCGAATAAATCTTTTGGTGTTGCTTCACCTCTGGTCACAAATACATACTTGTTGATTCTGTGAGGCTTATTAATGATACTGTTTTTTTTTGTCTTTACACAGCAGCTAAAGTGTGTGATAAACTTTATTAGCAATTTAATTTATTTGCATGTCATCCTGCTTAAAGCGACTGGAGAATGCGTAAAGTGAATTACGCACACAGTACAAACATATTTATGATTTAAGAGATGCTGTGAACGCAGATTTGATAACAGTATTGTAATCTAAAAATGCTCTGGGTTCCACACAATCGATTTGTGTTGGTCAACATAAAGGAATTAACTTATTCGTTGTTGTTTTTTTCGTTTTTTTTCACAATTTTAAGCGGATTTAACATAAAACAATTAAGTTGTCCCCTTCAAAAAGCTCAAGAATTGTGTTAATTAAGTTAATTTTAAATAAGTAATTTGAACAAGCAGTCATTTTTGGGTTTAGGTTGCGCTTCTTTATTTAGAAAAAAAGTAAAATATCAAGTGTTATAATAAAAAGTATATCATGCTATTCATGCATGCATCCATGAATTAATCTAAAAAAATATATTGCAAAAAAAATTACCAATATGAAAGAAAGTAAGTCTTTGTCATTTGTTCTCCACGGTAAAAGATGTGTGTGTGGAGGCCCGGGGCCGCTTATGTCCATTTCACCTGCTCAGACGCTTCTAAACTGCATTACTGACTCAATCTTCGCGGCTCTTTCATTGCGCGTGTCCTGCCAGCAGCCTGCCCACGGCAAACACTCCATTTCCCGGTGCGAGGACACGAATTTGGCCATCAATTTAAACGGCTCTGCGCGCTCACACACACACACACACGCGCGCACACACACACACATACACGCCGACGGTCCGGCGCACAACTTCTCATATCTGATGGATTCTGTTTGGGTGAGATTTATGTAATAAAATCTAATTGGTGTGTTGCGAGATGGTTTTACTGAATGAAATTACGCGCAGCGCAGAGCGTTCGGCATGTGGGGTTCGAGCATTCATCAACGCCGCGGCACAAATCAATGTTGTGCATCTGAGCAGCAGATCTGGAGATTCAGAGATGACGAAAAGCAGACGATCTCCGATTTCTGCACATTGATCGATAACGAACATGAATCCTGCGCGTTTATCTCAATCTGTTCTGTAGAAAAACGCGACTTTTAACTGACAGGGCGAGAACACGGCACTGATTATTGAAATTAAACCAAGCGCAGTTAATTCCATTAGAAAACACGAATCTGTTTTGAACGCATATCTACAAAGTTAATTCAAAGTTTAATGCGATTGGATATAATGAGAGACCTCTGTAAATAAATTAGCAGCAGGATCTTTCAGCCCCAATAAATGCGCATTTCGGAAATTGGTCTGATGACATTATTGAACAACACGACAAGGCTTCAGTTCAGTTTTTTCTAAATGTCAGCCAATAGATGGAGATAATGACGGGCCCATGCAGTCGACCAATGAAAACTTGTGCTGAAGAGTTTGGCACGCGCCGCGGAGCGAAACACTCGACAGTTTGACGCGCGGCGCATCGGTGGCGAGACCTGAAGAGTTCAACCGAAACGGGAAACACGGGAATCAACCATGGACAAGGCTAAAACTAAATTAAAACTATCCTTCCCGCACTTAAGGTGATTTTGTTCGCTTTTAATCCGACATAATCTGGGAATCATGGAGCGCGAGGAGTCAAAACCGCCGTCTAAAGCTCACCAGGAACCCATACGATTTGGGATCGACCAGATTTTAGGCTCTGCGGAACCGGAGAGCAGCCGATTAGGAAGTCCAAACATTGCTCCTCATGTCCCCCTGCCCGGGGTTTCGCTGGAGGAGTCCGGCCGAGTGTTCGGGGTGAGCAGCGCGCTGCTGCCCGGCGGAGTGATTCGGGTCCCAGCGCACAGACCGCTCGCTCCCGCCATGATGAGCGCGGCCCCGGCGCTGTGCTTCCCCTGGATGGACAATAACCGCAGGTTCCCCAAAGACAGGCTGCCAGGTAAAGACAAAACACACGAGGATGCTGGAAATTATCCACAAGCTTCACAGGTCTCTGGATGCTGGAGCTGCGCGGCTGGTTTCTGAAAATGATTCATTGGATTTACTAATTTTTTAAGGTAAGTGGTTGCAAATAAGAGCTGAATTTAAACAATAACAAATTAAGTTGAACATTAATAAATTTAATTAGTATAAATTCAGCCCATATAAATTGCAACCACTCACCTTAAAAACAAATGAGTACATCTAATTAATCATGTTTATCAGTGTGACAGTACATAAAATAAATAAAATAGATCTATAATAATAATAATAAATAAATAAATAAAATCATCACTATAAAATTACCCAATGAACTTGATTGCAAAAACAGTATTTGTAATGATACCCATATTATTTTGGTACACATAACCGCAGGTTCCCCAAAGACAGGCTGCCAGGTAAAGGAAAACGCGAGAATGCTGGAAATTATCCACAGGCTTCACAGGTCTCTGGATGCTGTACCTGGGTATTTGGTTTCAGAAAATATTTCACAGGATGTTAGTATTTGTTTAAAATAATGATAATAAATGAAATAAATAAGCATTCCACTGCGAATTAAATAAATCCAATTAAATCAAATCACCATTATGAAGTTACCCAAATAACTTAATAATAAACTTAAATAACCTAATTGTTTTTGTAATGCCTATTAATAATTATATACATTAAAATAAATAGAAACTACATTTGTAATTATGCTGATTAAATGAATTATTTGCTTGCTCCTAAATGCAAGCGATATATTAATACATCAGTTTCGATTTTAATTTATCAATTTCGATGGTAAAATATTTAATAAAGGCTAATAAATTTATATATATATATATATATATATATATATATATATATATATATATATATATATATATATATATATATATATATATATATATATATATATATATATATATATATATATATATATATATATATATATATATATATATATATATATATATATATATATATATATATATATATATATATATATATATATATATATATATATATATATATATATATATATATATATATATATATATATATATATATATATATATATATATATATATATATATATATATATATATATATATATATATATATATATATATATATATATATATATATATATATATATATATATATATATGTATATATATATATATATATATATATATATATATATATAGAGATATATATATATATATATATATATATATATATATATATATATA